GATGAACTGAAACTCATGGTATTCGGTATTTTCTTAGGAGAGAGATATACAACACGCTGTCCCCAAATTTGAGAGGTTTTCTTGGATTTTGCAACATGACCTTTTTCAGTCTGTTACCAAATACATTCTCTGCCTTTGTTAAGCCTCATCAAATTGTTTCAGACATTGCCCCTGTCACAATTAGAGGAGCCTTTAAAAGAGCCTTCTGGGCAGCAGGGAGGGCTGGGCAGGTCCTGGGCACTTGTTTGTGTTATGCTCGAGTCTGGTTTTCTGTTCTGACCCCTTTTATTTGTCCTGGAAGTTACTTAGACTGGCTATACCTGTTCTTCAAATAATTTTTAAAGCCTGTACTTATAATTTGTAACTTATGCAACTATGTTGTTACTCCCACAAGGGTAACTACCATGGAGAATTTAATGCATATTTATGAAAACTCCAATCAGAACACATTGCTTGTGCTTAAGGATATCCAAATAATTGGTGGATGTTTTCAGAGACTTGAATTATGTTTCTCAACAGAGGGACTATTGAGATTGATGCATGTGTGTCTGTATATACAAACACATATGTATATGTAATTTATACATATGTATAAGTCTAGATAAAACTAATCTATCTAATGTAAGTGTGTGTGCTTCTGTATTTATACATGGCAGTCTGTGCTCCTCAGCCTGGGACTGTGCTGGTAACTCTCCTGAAGCTTCAGCCTTGACTTTTTTCCAGCAGCATTCAAATGCCTCCTGCCTCATCTGAACCAGAATGTGTTGTGGGGAAGTGGGAGATGGTGGCAGACACCTTGAAGCATCTTGTGTCTGGATATTTATTTGTATTCCTTTAAAAACTGTTTATATGTTTAACCTGTTCATCCTCCTCTCTCACATGGTACGGAGAAGCACCTAATCCTGCAGAGCACAGGTGAGATGTTTGGGATGTGTGAGAGAGGAGGTCCTGGTGGGTTCTGCATTCCCACAGGGAATGCCTCGGGCCAGGGAAGTGTTTCTCCACACTCTGTGTGGGTGATGACTGACTCCTTTAACCAGGGGATCCCTATTTGTGTTCCAACTTTGCCAATTGGTATTTGAGGCTTTCCTGCAATCTGAGCACACCCCCCAGACTCAGACACCCCTGGATTTGGGAAGCTCCTAAATGCAGTGAGATTGATGTATCACTGAAAGCCTCTGACGATGTAGGTGAGCTCTGTCAAACCACAGGAGGGAAGTTCCCAAAACCTTCCAGAGCCAGTACTGCTTCCAGGGCATATGAATAGGACCATAGTGCACTCCTTCCTTGGCCAGCAAGGAAGTTGTCTTCTGGGAGTCACTGCTAGATACAAGCAGTAACTAAAAAGGAGAAATAGGGAAGGTTCCAGAAGTGTTTTGGGGCTGAAGAGAAGAAAAGCTGCAGTATTTGTGAGTGCACTGCAG